CAAGAAAGATATAGTAAGTTTACTCTTGATCCGATAGACTGTTTGTCAAAAAACTTTTTTTTAATTTTTCGGGCTTATAATTAAACTTATTGATTTGTGCTTTTGGAACAATGTTTGGAACAACTAGAACAATCTATATCGGTATCGGAATGCTTTATTTTCAAAAAATGGGGTGCCAGGTCAAAAACATTTTTTTCATTTTTTGGACTTATAATTCAACTTACGGATTTGTCCTTTTGGAACAATGTTTGGAACAACTAGAACAATCTATTGCGGTATCAGAATGTTCGATTTTCGAAAAGTGGGGTGCCAGCTCAAAAAATCATTTTTTTTTTTATTCGAAAACCGTTTCGAATGAAGCAATATCACTTTGGAACAATGTGGTACAAAGTCAGAACAATCTGGAACAACTTTCAAAATTATAAATTTCAAAAAGTGGGGTGCCAACTTCATACACTCCAAACACGACTGTACAGTACGACGAGTTCACTATTTTTTTTTCAATATTTAATATCTAGAAAACGATCAATTATGATAAAAAATATATAAGAAGTAAAGTCGTAGAACTTTAAAAGATCTATTTAATAGTAATAATAATTGGGTTCTCTAAAGTCATATAAATTAAATTTTTTAAATGGCAATACCTATTTTTTGTCGCTGATTTTTATAGATGACATCGAGACCTTTTAAAAATATACATACTTCTTACACAAATCCGTACACTGAAAAAAAATATTTGAAAATTAACAAATATTTACATGTTTATATATTATTTATATATTATTTCAAATCACAATATAAAAATTCAGTTTATGTATAATTTAAAAAATATATTCGATCCTTTTTATTGTGTTAGTCGTAACTTCGAATTTTGGAAGTCTCTGTCCCGCTGTATATCACTGTGTTGTTCGCGCGTAATGAAAAAGCCATCGATTGCCTACGCACAGCAGGTAATTAACGGAGGCATAATTAACCGCCTGTTACATTCGCGCAGACATAAAAAATTTAGCCCCTCGTCACTCCTACGACATTATCAATTTATGGCCGACGTAATGGTCGGAGCGCGTAACGTCGGATTCGCCTGGAACTAGTTCCAACGATGTAAATTATCAATTATGATTTCTAATCGAAATTCTTTTAAACATAACGCATCGATGACGGCGCATTATTATGCAAACTAATCGGGAAACGAACGTTATCGGCGACGCATCATCCTCCACGGGACGCGTGCAATAACGCGCGTCGCTACAATTTCCCCGATCGAATAAGCATCACATCGCGGTCTCGAATGCGCATTCATTAATTCTCGCGTCAGCGCATAAAAATGGCTTGTCGATATTCGGACGAGAGGAAGGCAGGAAGGGGGTGCTTCTTTCTATTTTCTCTTTTTTCGCAAAACAATGCGTCTATCGGCATCGGCTCGCAAATGAGAACGTATATTAAATTGGACGTAGAAACGGGCGGTCGCACGTAACGTGTGCAAGAGGAAAAACTCACATTCTCTCGATTTCAATAACTGATTGCTTTCTTGTTCTCTGATACAGACCGATCGTTTCCTGTTTTCTTTGGCCTACTTGTTTGTTTGTTTGTTTTATTTATGAATACTGTCAGCAAAGCGAAAGGATCGCTTTTTTCCTCGGAACACGTCCGGAGTCGGAGACAGGGAAATAATTAATTTGCCGGGAATCGTGCTACATACAACAAATTCTCTTATTGAATACACATGTATCGCGAAACCCATCAGGAAAAAGCGTGCTGTAACCTTCCCTTCGCCGCTGACTGTACCTCATTTGGATATTATACAACTTAAATTAATTTACTCGCGTATACACATTATTGATTACAATTATTATTGTTATTTTCGTTGTTATTATTACTAATATTTATACGATATATCGAGTTATCCTTTCGAGCGCTTCGTCGAAATTGTTAATAAATCAATTAGTTCACGCAAATTCGCCCGAATGCGAGCCGAGGCATTTTTTCCAGCGACAACCACTTGGTCGTCGTTTCTCGTCATTGTGATAAGACGTCTCTGAAGTGTCCTCGCTCCTTTTTCAGGTCGTACCGCCGCCAGGAACCGTCACGTCCTCGCACACGCGCTCGCTCTCAGCACGTAGACGCACCCTCGAGTGCACTTCCGCCCCGGGACTGACGGTGCATCCTGCGACAGGAAGCGGCGCCACGTCGCCGAGAAGAGTCGGCTCCTTTCGCCGTAGCGGCGGATCCGACGATCGACCGCCTCTTCCGTCGTTCTGCCGTCGCAGACCGTCTTGGCAGGAGTTTGACGTGCAGGCCACTTCCGGGTAAGTAGCCCGTAACGAGTGCGCGTCTCTCACTACGCCGTGGAGAGCAACCACACTTCCGGTCTTCCGTCCCAGATACACTCCGTCGCAAAAAGTACGACGATACCATTTACGGCACGAAGTAAAACGAATTCGCAAGAACCATATCATACTTTCTTAAGAAAGAAAAAGAGAAGAAAAAAAAGAAGGAAAGAAGAACGTGAGAGGAAGATGATAACGTGGCAATGATGAAAAGCTTAAGGGAACATCAAAGTGGATGAGCAACTCCAAAAGTGTCCCAAATTTTAAAATCTTTTCTCCTTTTCGTCACGTATTCAGCAACGCTCCAATTCATTGTCGCGCATATTTTCAGTGTGCAAAAAGCGTCTGCGATTCTACACTGCCAATGTACGACGTAAACTTCGCGGAAGGAAGTCAGCATTTTGTCGGTAAAGTTTTCAAGCATCCCCTCGATAACGTTCCCCGAGCACGAGGTGTGCTGCGCGAAGACAGATGCGGCGATTTTCGCGCGATTCGCCGCAAGACGAATTATCGAGATTCACGAGACATGTTTTACAAGCGAGGCACGCACCTCACCTGATCGCGGTGAGCATCTTGGAGATTCGCAAGGAGCTCCTTGCCGAACAGAAGGAGTGTCTCGACAGGGCGTGCTCGAGCGAATAATTTTGTTCGATTGCCCGTCCGTCGAGGCTCCACGGCTGAATACTCCCAAATGCTCTTGGCGCGAATTGCATTCAATGTCGAATCCCCTCTAAGACACTACGCGAGCCGGCCATTCAGCACTTCAATTCGGTTATGACGACGTTGTGCGCTAAGCTTTCCAGTTAACTACGTCCTCAATCGCGCTGTTTGAGAATTGGCTGCTTCGGTTGGTCGGCGCGCGGAAACTTTTCTTTCGGACTGCACTGTGATAAAATTGAAGGCATGAAATCGTGCATCGTGCGATTCTAGCTTAACGTATTGCGTCATGACGAAAACTCAATCCGTACAAGGAACAACGGGCGTTCTCTGGCCGGAGTTTTACTTGCACGGCGCTAAATGCGAATGCACTTTTAATAAGGCCGCCGCGATGCATCGCGATTCCCCACGGAATCGGTTCGTTGCATATGCATGAACGCCGCCCATTTAACGCGAATTGTAATCTCTCTTTTTCAAGTTTGCCCCCTCCCCGCCTCCTTCTCTCTCTCTCTCTCTCTCTCTCTCTCTCTCTCTCTCTCTCT